AATTACGATTTGGGTATCTTTTAACCAGCCAGGACAAGACACTAAAAACATTAGACGATCAAATATATTTTTCCAAGACACCTTGATTAAAAATTAGCGTTTTTAACATAGCCATGGCACTCTAGATTGAAATTTAAAATACAATAATTTGTTTTTGAGCGAATATGGCAAAAGTTGACATATGATATGTCATTCGCTTCAATGTGTTATTCTATATCGAATAAGGTAAAAAAATACCGAGGGTGCAATTTAAAAATGAAAAATTTTAGTCATTTTCGGTTAAACAGGAAGTGGTCGAAAACAATTGAATACGTCAATCAATCCTAATTTATGTCATATACTAACATACCAAATCTCACCTTTTTATCTAAAAAAATAAAAAAGTTATAGGGGTGAGCCACTTTTGAGACGCACCCAGTATACATTCTTGACAATAGAATTAAAAGATATTTGCTGATTATAGCAAAATATTTAATGAATAAAGATAAAAACGACTGGGAATTTGACATGAATCTACTGAAAAAGAAAGTTAAGAGACAAATGCCCGTCCTGGATGTTTTCTACTGGCGACTGGGGCCGGTTAGAAGCCGGCAATTTGTTACTGCCTACACGATTTTTATTATTTACCGAATAATTTAGCACCGCTTTGGTATTTATTCTCACAATTAATTTAACGACACCGGCGCCAATGGAGCAGAATAAATTTGAAGTTATTTTGTATAATCGGATTTTCAAATCAATAAAACGAAGTGAAGTAAGTAATAAACAATTATTATTATTGGCAATAACTATGGAAGAAGATTTATTTCTTTTTTTAACTCAATATTTTTTTACGATTATTATATTATAAAAAATAACATACGCTGCCAAAAATGTCACGGTTATTGTGGTAAACTATATTTTTTTAATTAAAACACCTTCAAGTGTGTTTGGTTGATTAGGTTAGACGTTTATGACGAAACGTTGATCCGATTTTTTGGAAAATGTTTTTTTTTACATAATGGCACCTGCTTCATCTCTCTACATGGATATCGACATGGGAGGTTAGACGTTTATGGAGAACCGATGATAGGATTTTTTTAAGAACTTAGATTTTTTCATAAAGGTACCTGCTCCATTTGTCTAAATTGTTTTCAGCATTACACTGTTGCCGCTTCATACTAAACGTGGTAGCATCTTTCTTACTTTAAATGGAACACCCGGTATATTATTACATTTTTCGAAAACACTTTAATATCTCATCATTTTTCAATTATACTAATCTATACCTATCTCTCATAGTGTTCGAGGTAAAAAATAAAACGTGTAAAATTGACAAAAACATGATCTTGAATAAGCATTGGTTAAATCATAAATTCGGCAAATTGAAAGCTGAAATCTGGTTTATAGATTAAGGAAAGTTTACATATTCGATCTGTCTAAGTCAACCGATTGGATATCAAACAGGGGGATAACAAAAAATATATTTCTGTTTGTTATAAAATCGCACAAATATTGTTATTTTAAATTCAAGCCTATGTATAATATTTAAAAAAATCGAAACACAAATTAAATTGCTTTTCCACGATATATCCGGTTGCTATACCTAAACCTTCTGGTTTCTTCAGTTTACCCATGTTTTATTTTTTATCTTAAAGACTATTAGATATAGATATAGGTTAGTATATTAGAAAAATTATGAGATATGAAAGTAGTTTCCAAAAATGTAATAATATAACCCAACCAAACCGAGTGTTCCATTTAAAATAAGAAAGATGCGGATTTTTCAAATGATGCGGCAAAATTGTAACGCTGAAAATATTTTAAATAGATGGAGCAGGTGCCTTTATGTAAAAATCCAGATTTTCAAAAAAATTCTTAATGTCACCGGTTATCCATAAACGCGTCTAAATTACCATCGCCGTGAATCACCCTTGATTTGATATCTAAATTATTTTCTTTTAAATTATTTCTTAATCGGATTAAACAAATAGATACATTTTGAATGCAGACTGTACAGCAGGGGATAAAAAATAACAAGGTATTTTCTTTGTGATTGTGAACAACTGATTTCCAGAAGATAAAAGATTTGACATATATACGACAACCAAGCTTAAGGCTTTGTAATAGAGCTTTGTATTAGACCTTGTAGTACTAAAGAAAATGAACTATTTCCATTCAAGAGGTATTTAATAATAAGTAATGAAGATGATGTTGCTTTAAAATTAGGTACAGATTAGACGCGAAACACATGAAAAACATTAGGAAGGAATGATTAAGGAAGCACTAGAAAAGTTAATGAAAAATAATAGAAACAGGAAAATTTATTACTGTTTTTATAAGGAATGGGGGAAAAACCATCGGACTTTTCTTGGCCATCATTTTTTATTATGCGTCGGTATCCATGCGGAAAAATGTATGCGTAATGGCCTCAAAATCCTGGAAAAAAGACCGGAAAAGGCTAAAAAGACAGCGGGCCAGTGTTATCCTCGATGCGTGTGTATACTGGAGCAATCTGAAAATATTCATACCCGGGCTTATGTAAGCGTTGCAAATAGTATATGTATATATAGGGCTCTGGCCGAAAAGAAGGGTCCATTCTCTTCCTTATGATTGATCGGTCTAATATACAAATAGTTGACCGTAAGGTCCAACAAAAGGGGCCCGTCAGGCCCTATACCGTCTACCTAAAAGATCGTTTACTACTTGCATATATTAACGTGCAAAGATTAATGGTCAGCCCATTCTCTCCGTACTTTCTCTGCGTATGTGTGAGTACGATATTGCTTATTTATATTTCTGCGTAGTTTTTTTGCGTGCTCACCACCAAGGAGTCGCTTATTATTTTTCACGCTCATTCGTTTTGCGATTATGTCGCTGTAAAATGCTCTTAACCAATTGCTCACTGCTGATTTATGTTTACGTTTCTTAGATTGTGTCAGTCCTGTAAATTTGTTGGATGATTTTTACTCAGAATTGTTTTTCTGATTAATGTAGATGACCCCATTGTTAATAACTATTTATTGTTTTGATATCCACACACATTTTAAATAGTTTTTCTTTACTCTTTTACGTTTCAGGAAAAAGACAAGAAAAAATAAAGGAAAACAATTTAAAATGTCTAAACGTAAGGTAAGTTACCTTATGAGATTATGAGATAATACCAAAACGCTTAAAATTTCTATATATGAAATATTTTATTTTATTTTCATGTTATGTGGTGTTTGATGTTACTTGGAAAATCATAGAAGTGATAGCCATACATTACTAACATCTATAGATGTAGAATGTAGAATGTTTAGGAGGGGAGTTAATCACCGCTACCTTACAGATCTATTGTGTTCCCTTTTCTTGAGTTATAACGAGTTATAACTCATCATACAGTCTCAGGGCTTTAACAAAAGCCAATATCTGAGACGGTTCTACAGAAGCCAGCTCTCGATCCTCGACATCAGCCGTACCAAAGTTCATGGCACAAACGGTCGTCATATCGGCGCATTCAGTGATAAGGTAATCTGGTATTTCCCCATTTTCCCCACAGAATCTGCATTCGCCGTTGTTTCTCAGATTCAGCCTACTGAGGTGTTCATTGAGGAGACATTGAGTGTATTATTAGAAAACCCCGTTATAACCCGAATATTGTTTTTACTTAAATCAAGGAAAACCTTTGATTTTTCTCGGTCGTAAGTTCTGAGGAACTTTTTCGAGCGTCTTAGACCGTTGGAGGACACCCATTCCAGGTTACGGATGGAGTATTCCAGGTTCTTAAGTTCCGCTTTCAGTTGGTTCCCGCTTGTAAAACAGAACGGTTCTGGTCCAGTTAGTGGAGTGTTCGCTCCTTTTCTAGCTAGATCGTTAGCTTTTTTCATTGCCTTCTATCCCTTGGTGAGCAGACACCCAAACTAGGAAGACTTTATTTTCTTTGCCTAATTTGTTGAGCTTTTCTAGGCATTCTTTGACCAACTTAGAATTGATGGTTACTGGTTGATCGCTTTTAGTGCTGCATGACTGTCGGATAAGATGGCCATTTCCTGTTTTCGATAGTTCCTTATCTAAGATAAATTGTACGCATCTTTCGATAGCGTAGTTCTGCCTGAAGAATGCTGGGGTAGGTGCCCCTTGATTCGGAGCATTTAGTTTTCAGCCCAAATACTCCTATCCCTGTCCCTGCTTTGGTTTTGGAAGGATCAGTACACCACGTCATGGTATGGTCTTTTACATGCTGAGCAAACGTTTCTTCCTTTCAATCCTTTTTGTTACTCAGTATAACATCTATAGATGCTTGAGCTATATATTTATTTATATTTTATTGGATGACTCTATTAAATCTCCTATTTTTCCGTTAGAGGCTATTGTGGCCTACCTATACTTTGTGGCTCGTGTCCCGTTAATGTTGTCAAATTTTATATGTCATCATATTGCTTCTGTAATACGAATTTGAAAATTAGATAAAATTAAATCGAATGCTTTGTCAATTTTGACGTTTTTAACTATCGAGTATCGTTCTCTTTTTAAAAACGTAGAATAATAAACTTTATCTAACGAACATCCATAAATCAAAAATAAAATTAATGGAAGATCATTATATAAAATATCAAGTATTAAACTGAGCGCTTGCATGTTGAAAATTTGAAACAAGATTTTTCTCTTTCGTTTGGTGATAACATGAAATCGAAATGATAACCTTCCGAGACCCTGCAAGATATAAGACACATAAAGTACGTCTTTATCATTCGATGGAAATAAATCTTTGGCGTATTAATTGTGAAAGCTCCAAGTCTGTGATAATATATTTAGGGAATTTTTTATAACTATAACGTCAGACAAATCGATATAATAAGCTAATCTAAATTTTATTTATCGTTGGTTATTTAATATTACTTAAAATTCCTGCACGATTTTAAATGCACCGCATAATAATAATATATAACATTCAATAACGCTATATTGGGCTCAATCTATTATTCTCCAACAGCGTTAATTAATAACGTTAATTAGTAATTAATTAAATGGTACAGTACCTTCCCTCCTCATGCCCATTTTTATGCATTTCCGTAAGCGACAGTATTGGCACTGGTTCCTATGGTGCTGGTCAATGGGACAGTTTCTGTTACCTCTGCATGAATACGTCAAATTTCGGCGAACGCTACGCTTAAAAAATGACTTGCAACCTGGAAAAGAAAAATGAGAAAAACCTTTACTAAAGAGAATGTCCAAAACAGGTTAAGGATTGGAGAAAAATGGGCCACTGAATAATACCATTAAAAACTCACAAAAACTAAGATTTTTTTTAGTTTTAAAAAATCTTAGCTAACATTTTTTTAAGGATAAATTCAAAATATCTTTTGTAAAAAAAGAGTGGGTAAAAAGGATGTAAAAAAGATTTACTACGCACCCCTAATAAAAAGATTAGAGACTATGAACGAGAGTTGCCAAAAGAATTATTAATCGAGGTTCCGTCATACGTGTCTCATCTTTATACTTTTATTGCCCAAAATGTTTTTTATAAAGGCTCATTTTTCTTCGATGGGTCTCTGGGGGGCTACTAGAACCTTAACCTTAAAAAGGGGGAAGTTCTAAGAACGAATAAAAAGATGGATGTTCTGAAAATAGGGAAAAATACAAATTAAATAGATTGTTCTTATAATAACTTTAATGGGAAAATGCGAGGAAAATGTGCCATAAAAGGCTCTTAAGTTTTCTGCGTCTATAATAATGATTATAGTGTTGAACAAGGACTAGCTTGACTCCATATTGCCTCTAATAATGTGTTGATATTTGATTTTATGTTAGTAAAAGAAAAAAATGTGAAATTGTTCAGTTCTATATCAAGATATTTAAATGAAAATATAGGATAATAATTATACCCTTTAGAATGTAAAGGCAGGTCAACATTTCTAAGATTATTATAGGAACTAGTAATTTATTCTAGATTCTATGCTATTATTTAATTAAAAAAATATGTTAACAATTATATCTATTTAAAGTAATCAACAGCATTTTCTTGTTTATTAACATAACAGAGATTAATATGCTTATACAGGGTGTTTCAATAAACATGTGCCATCTCTCGTGGGGAGATTCCTCACATGAAAATAAGATTCACTTTTCATATCTAATCGACATAGGTCCGATTAGTCTGCTTTGTTTCGTAGCTACAGGGGGTTAAATTCTTAGTCGTTCTCTCCCCATGGTCTTTATCTCCCCACGATGCTGGCTCATGTTTTTTGAAACACCCTGTATAGGCATCTGTAACTCTTAAAATAAGGAACTTGGGGATTTCGTTCCAGACCTAAACTTGAACGTTTTTTAGGAAAATAATTCTCTTGTACAGGGTGTCCCAAAAAAGTAATTTGATTTTTTGACTTTTTTTCCATTGAGAGAGAGCCATATGCCCAGACGAAAAATCAAAAAAGTATTTTTTTTTTAAATTCTATTGGTTTGATGGTAATTTTTTACTGGTAATTTACAATCTATTTTTAAAATTAATTCTCAAAATAAAATCGTTTAAAACACGAATAGTGAATAAAATGGAGTGCGAAAGCTTTGTTGATTTGACCTTTTCAACTTTAGTTAAATGGGAGTATAATGTGCCGTCTACTGGCACTTAGGGTTTGTGAGTTTTTTAGTAGCAATTTATAGCAAAATCTAAAATCGTTCGATTAGTTTTTTAATTAAAAAGTCGTAATTTAGACTTTCTCTTAGACAATAATTTGGTCATTGGGGTCTCAATACATGTAAGATATATTCAGATAGATCTATTGCTCATTTCATGTAAGTTTGCCGACAAATGGGCAGTATTCTAGACCAACATCACATAAAAAAAGTTTTGCATGTGAACATGCAATCTATATTGTCAGCAAATGGACAGTCTACATTTTTAGCAGGTGGACAGTATCTCTTTGAAAAAGTGAATGTACGAGGGTTATCTTTTAAATTTTGCATGCAGAAACAGAGTAGGCGTCTGTTAACATTTCTCTGCAAAATATAAAAGACAACCCTCGTATATCTTTTATCTGAAACTTTGATTTGCCAGAATATAGGCAGGCTCTATCTTTATTTAAATTTGAACTTTAATTAATTATTAATGTTTGAATGTACTTAGGGAAAAATAAACTGTCTGGGTCTTCTATAAATATGTCTGAATTAAAAATTTAAGCCGAAACTTTCTCTTGACTGAAGTATTTTTCTTTGATTTAAATAAAAACACGGTAGTAATCGTATACCAAAGAAATCGTATGATAGTAAGAAACCTTTCCTTTCCTTTGGATTAGGAATGAGTTTTAAAAGTCTAGAGGAATTCGTGTCAAATGTGTGGATTTTGTAGGTCTTCCCGAGTATTGCCACTTGATATTAATAAAATCAAGCCATCGTCCTTAGGGAAAATAAAAAAACAGACCCTGAAAATAAACAAATTCCAAAGTCGTTAGCGTTTTAAACAGATTTTTTTACGGTCTAGTAACGTCGTAGTAACCACTTGGCCGGACAAATGCACAAGCTGAAAAAAGTTTGCAAGGTCCAGGCAGTACCAACAAAAGAAAGGGATAGCACTCAACCTTAACTAATTCATAACCCTTACAAAATCAAAATACACTCTTTGCCGCCGTGTTTACTCCACGGAACGTTTTAATAATTATCATTAACAAATGATTGTTTTTTTATTTTTTAGTTTATCATTTTTAAGGGTTTTTTTCTCTTCATTTCAATAGAAATAATTTAATTCGTTCTCGTCATGTCATTTATTTTTTTAATTTATAAGCTAGGGTATATTTTTCGTGTAGGTATAATATTTGGCTATTGGTAAATTTGATTCTTTTTAGTTATTTCAATAAAAACAATTATAATGAAAAATTAAATATTAATTATCAGTAGATAAAATTAATTGAGATTTCTAGAACTAGAAGAAAAAATATAATAATATTCAACGAAAATTATAGAAAAGTAAAAGAAAATAAAATACTGAGTACAGAAATCTTGGCTACCTATTAAAAGAAATTAATTTTCTATCCTTATAAGAAAAAAATCACTGAGTGATTAGTCACTATGGAAACACTATATAAATTGATTTAAATAAGAACAGAGTTCAAATGAATAAATATTACTATGATAATAGCGAAAGAAAGATACAGGATGTCCCAGATAAGTGCAAGTATTTTAACTGGTAGTATATTTCGACCCCAGAAACACGCCTATGAGGTTTTTTAAGAAAAAATTGTTAAAAATGTTATATTTTTCTTGACATTTTCCGGAAAATATTGAAAAACTTTTGAGTGCCGCTTGTTCAGTTTCCGGAAAACTGTTTATAGTGCTTCGAGAGAATGCAATGTTGCCACCTCCTACGTTATCCACATTCTGTATTTTTATAAGTTATAATTTTTTAAGTAAAAAAACTATTTTCCAAAAAGTTTTTTACTAATAAAATAATCAAAAAAGATAATTTTCTTATTCCATACGAGCATTTGTAAGAAATTTATCTTGTTCTTTCTCTACCTGTACGTAAACAAATTTAATAGCCCTTATTTCCTTGGCTGTACTACACTGAGCGCATTGCGATCCCACGCAAAAAAATCTGTTTAAGCCTTTACTCTCATTGTTTGTGGGTACTTAATAACTAAAGCAACACCTGCCTTGGACTTCCACACGTAGAAAATTTGAACAATGAACCGGCTCTTGCGGCAGTTGGCCGATTGAAATTTTTCCGTAATTTTGTTTTGTTGTGTCCCGCACGTAAAACATATTTGACAGGACGCTTTGACAATATACGAATTGTTTTTCAGATTTATATAATTGTCCGTTGTCCGACCGAGCGTAAACACGTTAAAAATTACGCAGGGGATAACAATCGGTGAATGTTACGCTTGGCAGATAACACGTCTTGGTTTGTAGCGTAGGCAGTGGGATTTTTGTAGTGCCCTAAGCCAAATCCTGACCTGCGTCTATATTCCGCGGACGGGTACACCGTCCATCAATTAAACCACGGTTAAATTTAACCAGAAGATATCTATTTTTAGTTTATTTATAACATTTAATCCCATATTGTCCTGTTTTTCATTTAGGTTTCAAATTGTATTAAAATTAATTTAAATTTTTTGAAGAATATTGGTCATATGAAACAAATTATTAACATCAAATATTTATTGTCTGAGAGAACAAATTATTTAATTAAGAAGAACTCAATAATAATTTGTTTTTCAATAATAATACAATTTTTAGAGGCAATAATAACGTTAGAATATAGTAAGGTGCTTACTTACTGAGACCTTAGAAACATAGTAAACTAAACATAGTCATAAAATTATGAAAATTTCAGCATTTGTAGGATATTTTGTATAGATTCAGAATATACAGGGTGTTCCAGAAATAAGTGCAAGTATTTTAAGGGCTTGTAGATGTCGATAAAAGAAACATATTTTCTCTTTAGCGTTTTTCAAATAAGTCCAAAATAACGGAGTTATTTTACTTTGAAAAATTTCCAAAAAAATATTTTTTTTCTAAAATTTTGAGAACCACTGGAACTTTTCTGGATTTTCTTTCTTCTAAATTTAATCTAATACCTATGTTGCCATATTATCAAGAAATTATGTTTTTAACTAAAAACTGAAAAAAATTTCCAAAAATTTCGAATTAAAAAAAATTTCGCTTTAAGCGTGTTCTGGGGTTGAACTATACTACCAGTTAAAATTCTTGCACTTATTTCTGGGACACCCTGTATGTACCTTTGACGGCTTAGATAGCTCGGTATTGTAATAAAATAAATTATTTGGACTCATATTTTGAGTTATTTTTGATGAAGGTTAAAACTTCCCTAGTAACTGTTCTCGTAAGACTACAATGGAAAAAATGGAAAAAATATTTTCTTATTCTATGCCTTTTAATTAGTAAATATAACAACAGTTTTAGCAAAAGTATGGTAAAATGTCGAAAAAATGCTCATTTTTGACTATTTTTTTTGCACATTTTTAAAGGTCTGAGAAGAAGAGTAAACATAGTCATAAAATTATGAAAATTTCAGTATTTATAGGAAATTTTATTACCTTTGAAGGCTTAGGTGCCTTGAATTTGTGAGAAAATTAATTTTTTGGACCCTTGTTTTTCAGCTATTTTTGATGAAGGTTAAAACGTCCCCTACGTCCTCTACGTATGGAAAAAAGTCGATAAAATGCCCATTTTTTGGCGTTTTGTGTAATACCTTAGAAACCTAGTAAGCATAGTCATAAAATTTTGAAAAAATCTCTGTAGGAAACTTTATGTAGATTTTGAATATTATTCATACCTATCTATTAAATTATAAAGACTCAAATGGACTCTTTTTTTTCAGAAAATTGATTTTCCCTATAGCACTTTTATCAAAATCGGCCACGACCAAATCACAAATTTTCTAGCATTTTTGATTTTGATATACCTATTTGGTCGAAATAGTAAAGACAATGCTTGGACTAAACGTTCTCTTCTGGTTCTAAAAACAATTATATATTGAAATTTATTGAAGAAAACATTTCTTAGGTGATAAATGATTAAGTATAAAAAAAACTTCAAAAAGAAAACTTCTCTCTTTTCTATTCATTATGTCTATTGTTTATTTCTCTCGAAGGAATACGGATGAGCCTGTCTAAGACTGTCTTGGCAACATCTTGTTCGACCAGTCAATTTGTCAAAGGCTTTCTTTTCGTCAATTTTCACTAAAACAACCATAAAGTGTGCCGACGAATGCGTAGATAATTTGCAGGTTTACACTCTGCCATATGTAGCCAGCGAAAGGTTAAAGAGTCTTATTGTGTAAGCTGGCGCTACAATTAATGAAAGGGTCAGAGATGTCCCTGGGGTCAAAAAATGTGTGTATAACTACACATAAAGCTGTGCAGGTCGAGATATTTGATCTCTGCCATTGCTGGTGACTTTTCACTAATTGTTTTCTCCGACCTACCACAATATTTCGATCTTGATTGGTTTGGGTTTTTGTGGTTGTTATGTTTTAGTGACCTTTTTAGGTTGGGGTTAGTCTGCTCTTTTTTTTCTCGAGCGGTATATCAATTGTTTTATACGAGGGTACACTGAAAATAACATCTAAGGAAAAGTTGTATTTATAACCAGTAAAATATATCTCTTTGATTTTGCTGCTCAATTAGAGTTTTTGTGATCATTATTTGTGCTTGATGATATGCAGAGTTAATTTTTTTATTCGGGAGGGGTAATTTTAGTGGATTAATTTTTCTTACAGTTTTATTGTTCTTCAGAAGATAATCAATATTTGGTCTCTTTTTTGAATCCGACTGATTTTTGTTCATTTATTCTCTGTTTTTCGCTAATTATTTGATTTTTAGTTTTTTTTTCGGGCTATTTTGAAATGAAGCAGGTTTTATGTTTTAGATAAAAATGCATTACTACTTAGTTAATATGTATGTATGTATGTATGTATGTATTTACTACTTTGCATATTGGTGGAGATATTTCAATAATTTTTGAAGTCATTCAGAAAGAAGACGCTGGGAGATGTTTTATCATTAGATAATAGTACGCTGGTAACCGGATTAACTCCGTTTTTTCTATCGATCGTAGTTTGAGATTTTTTTAGAAGTTTCCTGAATGTTTTTTTTTAACTTGGAGACTTTGGTTAAGATAGTGAGTTGACAAGTTGAAAGGAAAAAGATACTTTAAGAAAGTACAATACTTCGCAATGATTTTTCAGTAATTTTTAGATGTTGTTTTTTACATGAGTTTGATGAGACAATGGACAGTGGGTTAAAATAAGAGAATACTTGAAATATTGTGAGCTTTAAGAGAAGATATATTTTAATAATTTCTGGATAGATCTTTATTTTTTGTAATTAGGAGATAATAGAGGATAGAGTAAATAGGATAATTTTGTGTGAATGGTGATTTTGATAGATATCTACATACCTACGCTGAGATTGTTTAGTAGGTATTTTGTGGATGTTTTAAATGGTTTTAGCTCCACTGGCTATAATGGGATGATTATTAAGAGGAATTTAGGGTGATTGGTGGTCGTGACTACGTATCTTCGCAAGTAAATTGGTCATTTTTTAAATACCTAAGGAGATTGATGAGGCAATGGACGATGGGTTAAAAGATGAGAAAATAGGAGAATAATTGAAATATTGTGAGCTTTAACAGAAGATATATTTTAATAATTTCGGGGTAAATCATTATTTTTTGTGTGTGAATGATGATGACAAGAGACTTTTCAGTAGGTAGGTATTTTGTGGATGTTTTTTAATGGTTTTACCTCCTCTGGCTAGACAATGGCATGATGACTGAGAGGAGTTTAGGGTGATTGGTGGTCGTGATTACCTTCACAGGTGAATTGTCCGTAGTGCTTCCCCGAGCTCTTGTCTCCGCACACCACGCACTCGATGTTCTGACTCTTGTCTTGGCTGCCGGTGCTATTCTGCGAGGGCGTCTGGCGGCTGAGGAGGGCCAGGTCCGAGGCAGGACCGTCGGCCAAGGGCCCCACAGCCTGCACCGCGTTCGGCGGCTGGACCGCGGCCACCGGCGGCAGCGGGTTCAGCGAATTGAGCCCTGCGCTCGTCAGCACGGGGTTCACCAGGGGAGACTCGCGCCACGAGTTCACCACCATCGACGCCATGGGCACTAGACCACCATCACAGATCGGCCTTTCGCACTTTCGGAATCGCTCTCGTGCTCGCGCTCGGCGTGTGAGGTGATAGGTCGACCCCGCGACACTCTCTAGCCTCTACTGGTGACCTTTCGCTCTGCCCGACACCGACTTGGCCTGGGCGGACCGGGGAGGTCCTTAGTTCGAGCCGGGTCACGATAGGCCACGGGGCGTTCCCGGGCCTGGGTGGGGGGCTCGGCAACGCCGCGCGACTTAACCGCGATCCAGGTCTGGACCGACCCCAAGCGCCATCCACCTACGACTTGCCCTCAAGATTCATCCCTTACGCCCGTCTGGCCATACAACAAAATTTATCAACTCTTTCTTACCTTTGTCTTGTTCTTAACTTTCGACGAGACGCCACAGAAGCTACAAGGGCTTATTGTGGCTATTATCATATACTATAGTTCATACATTTATTAACCCCTTTTTGTCTTTCTTTAAACATGTTCTTGGTGCCAAACCAACCACTAGTCCTAACAGTATATAACATACATTTGTTATATCTCATAGTACAAGATCCTTACTCCATACATTTTCATCACACATCTCTTCACTGTAAAATCTTGCCTTTTGCTTAATGTCACCCACCACTCTTTAGACAGCTATGTGCCAAATACCTCTTACTATACTTTAATATATATTACAGTTTTTTTAGCTTCTTCTGTTTACCTTCTTTTACGAAATCAACTTGATCCATAACTTTTGAGAACCACTTGTCTCGTCATGAACACTACCTATTGAGTTGACATAGCAAATCATTTTAATTTAAAGAAAAATGAAGAAACAGTATGGCGAAAATACAGAATTCAAAAGCATTTTATTGGAAATTATACTGTTTTCTCACATATGCGAGTTGGTAATTTTAGAAGTGTGGTCTGGATTTTAACGTGTAAGACACTGATCCAGGCAGCTTAATGGAAAATTTAGAATGTATTAAAAAGAGATAAAAGTTCGGTTGGTACATTTCTTCTATGCGGTATTGCCGGATTTTGCATCAAAAGTTCAAACCGCACAAGTAGACGTTTATGGAAAATGTTGCATCTAGGTTTGGAACCTTATTTTTCACAATTAGTTACTCATCTTACTATGAATGTAATAGATTATATTTAGCTTAGATATATTATCTTTTTTCAATAGTATACATGAAAGTTTTTAAAATAGTTTTTTTTTCTACTCAAATTTTTCTACAAAAGTAAAAACCGACAACTCTGTATGCCACTTTTGATTTTGTCTCTCTGTCTGTCAACCTGTCATTTATATTATTCTCTGTCTTACACGTTAAAATTCAGACTACACTTCTAAAATGACCAAATCGGTATATATTTATTGTCTTATCAATGTGGGCATTCTTTTATGCATAATTTATCAGGGTGTGACTGCTGTTTTACTGTTTAATGTTTAAAGTTGTTTTATATAGTTTTACAGTCACAGCCTTGCATAAAATATAATTTAAATAGCCTAATTTGTTTATCTGATTAATTGTATATAGATAATTGGTTAATAATAAATAATTATGTTTAATTTAATAATATTAGTTAAGTAGTAATTTGATGACTTTTCAATGACATTTTTGCTTCTATAGTTAATAATAATAAAAGTGTTGAAAACACTGGAATTAAAATATATTGGTACCTAACCAGAAATTGTTTAAAATAAAGTTAAACATTAAAATATAAATATATTATTTAATATTTCCTATATTCTTGTTTCTTCGTTGTCTATCATAAGTGATAATGATTACGAATTTTTGACTATTATTTATGTTTTCTGTGAAATCTGAAAATTGAATTTTCAAAATAACCCTGAGTTCGGCTCTGGAGAACACGGAGAGTAAGACCCCGAAACAGACAAATCGAGTGTGAAGAACTGCTAACCGTACTGGCTGATTCGTCAACACGTGCTTTAGCAGGATCGTCGCTATGCTTTCGCAGGAACGTCGTCTTGCATCAGTCGTAGTTTTTCGATTGCAGCAGAATATAGCAATGGTTCTATCACTTTTCAAGCGGCACTCGCTTCACTCGAGCGCATTTTATGCACTAGTTGACATTCTAAGACCTTTTATTTTGTTGTTATGTGTCAAAGTGAGGATGATTTCTGGTTTCTAGGATTGGTTTATGCCGTTAAGAGTTCATTTGATGCGTCATTTTCTATATGTTCAATTCTGGATTTTTTTAAAGTTGATCAGCGTGACGAAGTGATTCTTGTGATGCAGTTGTGATAGTTTATTGTACTGCAGTATGTTGGGTCTTAACAATCCCTGATATATGTATTTAACAGAGTGTATTTTATATTCTCTAATCTAAATGTAGATATTTGATTTTGTTTGAAAATGTGTTAAAGTGTTCATAGTTCTCGGGGTTTCTAAAATTTATCTAATTTCTTATGTCTGCTACTATAGTTGATTAAGAAATTTTTATTTTTCAAAAATAAATAGATGTATTGCTGTTTTCCTATATCTATTTATTATTTTTTACTATATAGGTTTTTGAAAGTTTATTTTCTGATTTCTAGAGATACCTTCTTTTCATATTTTTTGATCTTATATTTTATTTATTTACAAGTTATATTTTTTATTATAATTTTATCCTACATAGTTCTTCTTTTTGAGCTAATCATAATTTAAAAAAAAATATGAAATAAAAAATATTTTTTTTCTTTTTACGAATAATCTAATTATGATATTTAATTAAATTAATATTAAATAAATAAAATAGAGACCAGTATCTCCGTTGTATTTTAAATGGATATAAATCCCAAATACATTTTATTTCATCGCTTTGTAAGATAGGGAGAGGCGAATAATCTGAAAATACGTCACAGGTGAACAGAGATAACGAACGATGTCCAATTTTAAGGGGTTTCTGGCTCCCTTTAACCCTTGGCCGGGCTCTTCCTTACTGTCTGCTAATGTTCAGTGTTATTGGCCACCAGATTACACAGTTTAACTTATTATTCTACATGTTACCCGGGCGCTGAATTCTAATAGCCTTATTTGCCGGTAATTGTAAAGCCAAAAAGTCATCTATTATATCTCTGGCCGCAGGAAATAAGCAGTTGAGTTTAAAATCGCAAATTTTAAGGTCAAAAAAGGAAAGAAAATAAATTAAACCTTATTCCTTTTGTCTTATTAATTCCTTTTTTATATACATTATAACATACGATGAAAACATTAATTCATGTACTTTATACTAGGTTAAACCTCAAGGTTAAGGTTTTACTGACAAAGCGGCTTATGATGATTTGAAATTCTTCACACGCACAATAAATGCTCAGTTATTATTACGCGTATTTTATATTATTGCTCTTATTATTGCAAAACGACAAAATAGCTGATAATGTATGTATGCTGGTAAACAAAAACAATGGCTCATTGAATTTAAATATACCAGAATTGCGATATATTCTGAGAATGGAGTAAGCTTCCATGATAAACGACAGATAAATTATTACATCTTAATAATAACGATGAAAAATAAAACTCGTTATATTTAAAGGAATTTTTATTCGTTGTAAATTGTAAAAATGTTTTACACCTACAGTAAGTTTTATACATTACTGTTCTTATAAGACTTCAATGGCCTATATTTTCTTATTACTTTATTAATTAATTAATTAATTTCTTCCAACCAACCTTTATTTTTGGTCTATTTTTGATGGTGGTTAAAACTTAAAACGTCAAACGTCCCTTACATCCATTACTGTTTTCGTAAGACTACAGTGGCCTATATTTGCTTATTCTACACCTTTTAATTAGTGAATAACAGCAGTTTTAATAAAATCTGCGACATGAAGAAAATCGCCAATTTTCATGACTATATACATATGGAAAAAAGTCGAAAAAATGCCCATTTTTGGCTAATTTTTATACATTTTTAAAGGCCTTAGAAACATAGTAAACATAGTCAAAAAGTTATGAAAATTTCAACATTTGTAGGAAATTTTCTGTAGATTCACAATCTATACACCTTTGAAGGCTTACATAGCTTGACTTTGAGAGAAAATAAGTTTTTTTTGACCCTTGTTTTTCAACTCTTTTTGATGAAGTTGCGACCAGAAGACTGCACGGAAATATTATTATTTTCTGCCGCTTGTTGCCGGTTTTCTTCCAAATTAATAATTTTTCAGATGAAATCCCTCAAATTCAAGGCACAATATTTTATTTTCTATAAGATATAATGTTTTAGTGTAGTTTATCACACATGCAGAAAATCCAAAGAAATAGTATACAGACTGGATCAAAGGTAAACTTAAATCTAATCCCTTTTTTTTTATCAAGGGTCGATTTTAGTAAAAACTCAAAACATTTTTATATGACATACCTACTCTATTTATGGTTGGTATGATACCTGTTATTATACCTTTGAGTTTCGATGTTTAAAAAATAAAAAAAATAATATTTAAAGTTTTTCTACAACCACTTGTTTTTTTATTAAATTAGTTTTTTTTAGTTGTATTGTAGTCATGTACAAGGAGGACAACTGTATTTTAAATATGATATTTAATTTAACGTTTTTCAAACAGGGTTTATTAGACTATATTTCTACTAGGTATATTATTTTGAAAAAAAAAAATTAAGACAGTAACTTAAACATTCATAAAAATAGAAGTAATTACTGTTGTAGATTCTTCGTTATATTGTAAACATTGAAATAACTGGAAGCTAAACTTTCTAACTGCTTAATTTAGAGTCAGTGTCTGACGATCTTTTACGATGGCCCTGATATGTTTACTTCTAAAGTCGATAAGGGCGCCATATCAGTAGAAAAAAAACAGAATATCTCCCTTTTTTCGGTCGCGCGTACACAATGCTTTTTGTTTGTTGTGAATAGCAACTTCGCTTTTAGTTAACTCGGATATTTTAACATTTCTGAAACAATATTTTCTAATTGGTAAAACGTAAAAAATCGTTAGATTTGACAACTCTGTTGAAACTGGTCGTTCATCTGGCCGCAGCTAAAAACGCAATACATCCGGCCAGCCGACTCGACGGCCAGGTCGTTGCGACCTGGTCGTCAGTGAGTTCGAGCCCTTAGAAACGTAATCATAAAATTATGAAAATTTTATATGGATTCAGAATATATACACCGTTAAAGGTTTA